ATGGCAAGTATGTCAAGGACAGGCAGATCGTCCCAACAATAAGAGGTCACTTCCGGTTAGGTTAGTTGCCCGCTCGCGTTGTATTATCCCCTTCAATTGAATACCTTTTTAACGTTTTTTATTGGTTACATATTCCCGGCGTTGTTAATAAATTGCAAGTTCTTTTATTGGCCATTAGTGAAACGGCAGCCAGCATCATTTGCATTTAGATTAATCACTATCGTGAAGTTCGTTTCGCTCGTTGCTAACAACGTGCAGTAGTTGCTGAACCTGTTTATTCAAATTAATGCCTGAATTAAATTATAAGTCAATTAATTTAATGCAACTGTATTTAAATTGGGGCCAATAATCGCCTGCTGTTTGTATCTTGAACTGTTATTAACTCTGAAGTATCGTGGTACGATCAGATTTCAACTGAATTCAATTTCTGTTCTAATTAAGTTTTTTTCGAGCTTTGAGCTCGTTAGATTTTTTTATGGAAAATTAAATAATTCTGAATTTCTTTAATTACTGAAGTCTTAAAGAGGTACAATTGTAAAATTGTAAAGTTACAAAAATTCTAAAGTTAAATTCCAAAACTGCAACCTAATAAAATTCTAAAACTGCAAAATTAAAAAATTGTGAAATTACAAAAGTCCTAGCTAACTAAAAAAAATTGAAGTCTCAACCATCTAAAATACTAAAACTCAAATATTTCAAATCCTGAAGCTCTAAAAATCTAAAAATGAAAAAATTCCCAAATTTCTTGGTCTACTTAAAAATTCCAAAGTCCCAAAATTACAAAATAAATTCATTAAAATTCAATTCACAGTGTCTTTGTATTTGTGCAAAGTGTGAAATGAGTTTAAGAATGAAACTATTTATACCGGTTTAAAATTGTTTGTGGATGATTATTATTTTGTTAATTATTCTGAAAGGGTCGTATTCTTTTTTTAGAGTTCAACGGAACAGCTGACTCATTGCAGCACGGGAACGTTAGAGGAGATCCTGGATAATCCGGAGGGAATAACAACGCGGACCGTTTCTGAAAAGATCATGAGTATCTGTAAAAATACTATACGCTGGGTGCTCTTTTTCGATGTCCTCCTCGCCTTATCAGGTTTGTATTATTATTATTTTATATTTAAAAAAATAATACAAAAATTGTTTCGAAATAATTAAACATTATAATAGATAAATGATAATTTACCAAATTTATTGAAGATTTAGTTGCTCTCAAACAACCCGTCATTTTGTACGAATGAAAAATGTTAACAGAACACGCAGTCGTATCAAATCCTTAACCTAACCTAACCATAACTTATATCTAAATCGACAATGTCCTACAAATTAATAATCTAACCTAACAAGTATTGATAACCTAACCTAACTTAACCAATAACCTTGATATCCTTCACAACAATCATATCACCCAAAGCATCATGCAGAAATTTCCACCAGTTTTTCCTGTGATAAGCAACAAGTGTTATTTTCCATTTCTTTTGTGTGATAAAATCGCGTCAGACTTTCTACATTACGCAATGGTGCAATAAAACGTATCCGTTAATTAAACGAATTATCGGTGTTTGTTATGCGCCCGGTTAATGGCCGTCAATTTCCATCGTTTTTATATTGATTTATTCAATTTGCACGTCTGTGCAAGGAAATGACGGTTCCCTAATTGAAGCGACGTTTATTACATTACGAGACAAGTATGCGGAAGCGTATGTATCATTCATTCTTCCTGGGTGATGTCTATGAACTTGGAAAACAATATAATTTAATTCTAGCAACAACGAAGATTGACCTGATTAATCGTTGTAAATAGGCATTGATCTATGATGGGGAGTCAAATTTTAATATTTTTTAGGAATATTGCGACGTGGAAGTAGAGAAATGTAGGGGATATAGGGGTAAGGATCTGGGGATCTAGGGAATTAGGGGATCTAGGGAACTATAAGATATAGGGAATTAGGGGATATGGGGAACTAGGGGATCTAGGGAACTAGGGGATATGGGGAACTAGGGGATATGGGGAACTAGGGGATATGGGGAACTAGGGGATATGGGGAACTAGGGGATATGGGGAACTAGGGGATATGGGGAACTAGGGGATATGGGGAACTAGGGGATATGGGGAACTAGGGGATATGGGGAACTAGGGGATATGGGGAACTAGGGGATATGGGGAACTAGGGGATATGGGGAACTAGGGGATATGGGGAACTAGGGGATATGGGGAACTAGGGGATATGGGGAACTAGGGGATATGGGGAACTAGGGGATATGGGGAACTAGGGGATATGGGGAACTAGGGGATATGGGGAACTAGGGGATATGGGGAACTAGGGGATATGGGGAACTAGGGGATATGGGGAACTAGGGGATATGGGGAACTAGGGGATATGGGGAACTAGGGGATATGGGGAACTAGGGGATATGGGGAACTAGGGGATATGGGGAACTAGGGGATATGGGGAACTAGGGGATATGGGGAACTAGGGGATATGGGGAACTAGGGGATATGGGGAACTAGGGGATATGGGGAACTAGGGGATATGGGGAACTAGGGAATATAGGGAACTAGGGGATATGGGGAACTAGCGGATAGAGGGAACTAGGGGATATAGGGAACTAGGGGATATGGGGAACTAGGGGATATGGGGAACTAGGTGATCTAGGAAACTAGGGGATATAGCGAACTAGGGGATCTAGAGAACAAGGAGATACAGGGAATTAGGGGATATGGGGTATTAAGGGGTCTAGGGAACTAGGTGATACAGGGAATTAGGGAATAAAGTGATCTAGAGATATAGGAATTTTGAAATATAAATATTTGGTAATATAGCAATTTTGGGATATAGGGAACTTGAAGTATAGATCACTAGAGATATAAAAATATAGGGACGTAATCTAGTGATGTACAGAATTGGAAATATAGAGATTTGAAAAAGCACAAATGTAAGAACATAGAGATCTATAGATTTTGAAATAGAGAGACTCTAATAATACTATAAAAATATATAATCAACAGGAATCTAGGGATATCTTGAAGTCTGAAAATATAGATACTCTTGATACAGCAAAAAGTCTCAAACACCTGACATATATAGCCCTATATATTCTATACTAGTTATAAGACACCTAACAGGTGAATCAGATGAATCACCCTGCGCAAGAAAATTCTATTCAAGCATCAATTCACTCCGAACAGTTAATCTAATTAACCTAGAAGAATGCAGCGCGATAATCGGTAAAATAAATTGATCGCACTTGCATGATCCACCGTTCTATTTGAATAAAATGCAGGCTAGAAACGAAACCATGCGTGCAACGAGAGCTGACTGGAAAACCGCGAACTGTGGTAACACAATACCATATGAGACGACTGTCTGCTTAGAATTTTTCCGGTCGTGTAGCATTAAATAACTTGGTGCACACGGGTGCGGTGAAACGTCAATGAACTGTTCTAGAACACAACTTCGAAAAAAACAAACGCATAATACGTAGCTACAATTGGAAGCTCTCGACTGGAGCAGAAATTCGATGAACGGAGCAACCGTTTTGAAATAGATCGGTACATTTGACATTTGATACGAATATCGTGATCGCGTTGTGTTTACGTTACGATGTAAATTTACAGGACTGTATTACGCGTCGACACACCGTACCCTTTCCTCTCTTTTAATCGAACGTATATCACTCTTTTTATATCTCATGTAAAATTATGGATTTGTAAATTAAAAAAAATTAGAGTTGAAAATTTTGGGAGATTACTAAGTTTATTTTGGAAATTTAGAGAAATTTGCAAGCAGGAAATTAAATTTTGTAATTTAAGAGTTTGAGAATTTAGGGATTTAACAAGACGCCAACGTGGTGTCACCCTACTCCAGACGCAAGCAGGTCATGACACCACAGTGTCGTCATCTGCAGTCAACGTGTTAATAATGAGTACTTACGACATCCTTTTTTATTTACAATTTTAAAAATGCGACCCGGAATGTTTATGACCACATTCCATTTTTAACTACAAATTTTTATAAATTTTTACAAAACATATTACATCGAAATGTACTTTTGACAAAATTCAATATTTGTCACATTTGCAATGCTTTTTAAAATAATACTGTTTACATAATCATTCTCTCAAAGTGTAAACATTTTGAAAACATGCACGGTGGCAAAGTACGTTCTTTTAAATTTCGAAGTTATAAATGTACAACTTACCCATTTAATATTGTAGAGTTCCAAAAACTTAGTTTGAATTCACGTTTCGAAAATTTCCACAAATTCTCTCAAGGATCGATCACAATTTGTTATAGAATTTAAAACTTTGAATGAACGCAGCAGAAGAAATGACGCAGTAACGTTTTTTTACACTAAATGTTTTCGTACAAATATGATAAAATTCTATCACTTATGAACTCAGGACACGTACATGTTCTTACGAACATTCGTCGAAGAATGTCAAGTTTGTGTCAGCGAAAGAAGACTCCGACTTCCACTTCAAAAATTGTTTACATTAGTTCATTGTACGTTTCAACGAATTGGGCTTCGAGTTTAACTGATGTGTTATATCTGGGAACCCACACACTGAAAAGAGTCATAGACGGTCGATGCAGGGTCAGTTTCACTTCGAAACATCGATAACGTTCGTTCCTCATATCGATAATTCAAAAAAATCTGTCCTACAGTCCTATCGTAAACATTCGTTGAATACTTCAAGTCAAATTTAAATACGAACATATCGATTCAAATTCAAACAAGAATATATAGATTCAAATACTATTTAAATTCAAAAATTATTTACTTAAAATAAAGTTTAAATTTCCTAAAATACGCTGTATATATTGTTTAAAAAATTAGGGAAATTGAAAGTACGAATAGCTGAAAGTCGGTACCGTACCGACGCAGCGGGTAAATAGGAATGACCGCTCTATGCAAATGCATGTATGTGTAAACGTAGTTCTGTACGTCATTTATACGAAAGGTAAGCTTTAGTGTTTTGCGTGACTCAGTCTGTATACTTTGTATATCTAATCGAAATCTCGTGTCAATGCTGCAGCTGCAAAACCTGCTGGATCATTGAGCATTGCCTACATTATTATTATTAGGTAAAAAATAAGATTATATGAGACGTTTTGCGCATGCGCGTGAATCGAATACTTAGCTGGTGTCTCACGTAATAGGCGCGCAGTATGGTGTGACACTTTACTGGTATTTAGAGGAACCGTGCTCCTATTTTTCTATTCTTTTCTTTACTTCTCTTTTCTCATTTCTTTTCCCCTTCCTCTTTCTTGATTCTTCTTTTTTAGTTTCTTCTTTCGTGTGTACGCATTATTCTGTCATTCTTTCATCCGTTTACACGCGCACACGTGCCACATCTGCATTAACATGGTCAAGTGCACGAAAAATGAGAAAGTAGCGCCGCAACGGAAAGCTTCTAAACTGATCAAACAGCGTCATATATACAGCATGTGTGAGTATATACAAATAGACAGAATGAAAGCGAAGAAAATGTCGAGACCACGTGCATTTTCATGAGTAATCGTGCAGAAAGTATTTTTGTCTATCTAGGTACGTTATTGTCGCAGGTTCTGTGTGATGATTCAACCTTCCGATTTATGGGAATAAACAGAAAAAATGAATCATGTTTATGTACATATTTACGTAATTAAAATTGGGGAAATACTTTGAATGACTGCATGGATTTTATATTGACTTTCTTATCTGTTGAATCCTGTGTAAGCTACAGCTCATTCACAGTTGTTGGCAAAGATATAATTTTAATTAGGCAATATGATAAACTCTGGTGTGACTATACGATTTTTTGTAATCGTAAGATGAGGCAGATCTCTTAACTTCTTTAATTGTCATCTTACGTCAGGCAAAAGCAAATGATTTTTGGAAAGGGAACTTTGCATTTCATTGTTTTTGAGTCTCAAAGAACAGTTCCAGATTTTTCATTTCTAACAAACCTTTTATGTATGAAATAATTTCCAAAACACTTATTTACATTAATGCGCATGGCGTGATGTTTTTATCTATTGTATCGTCTGATGAAATCTTTAAATTTAGATATGATTCGAAAGCAATAATTAATAGCAACCATTTTTAACTAACGTTAGAATTATAATTAAATATTAGTAATAAAATCGATTTAGTACGCGAAACATTTGTAATAATTTTCAATTATCAATAAATAGTTTATTAATTATTTAATTTAATTATTCTTACGAATTAAATAATGAAAAAAAATATAGAAATTGCTCCCGTTTCATACTAAGTAAAAAATTATTGTACACTACTTATATAAACTTGTTTTTATTCTAGAACATTCGCAATATTAACCACTACTATTTTATGTTTCAGTTATTATACTTTTAGCGGTATTGGAATTCGGGACTATTCCTCAGCAGGGTATCGGCTTTTATTGCAATGATCCAAAAATTTCCTTTAAGTTTATGGGAGACACGATTTCTATGACCTGGTTGTTAATCGGAAGTCTTTTAATCCCAGTTTTAGTGGTACGTATAAAGCACGGCTGCGTTAAATATTTATCTGCTTTTAGACGGAAAAGTGACCACTTCCTTTTATAACCGTTCATATATCGGCCATTTTGTTAAGTTCTCAATAAGGATATAATGACGCATCTCTTCTTAACATTAATTCTTATAATTAATTTTTTTTTATAAGAGAAACAAATAAATAATAGAAAATTAAAATTAAAATAATAGAAGGATGTTTCAATATGTATTTTATGATGTTTTAGATATGTTTAGCAGAATACACGTGCCATCCGGCAAGTAGCTACAATAAAGAATTGGGATGTGCTGGTTCTAGGGCGAAACAAATATGGTTATGGTATGGTCATTATGCAATTGGAATGACTTCCTTGGTAGTTATATGCGAGGTTATCAAAACTTTGGTCGGAGAACCCAGACCTCACTTTTTGGATACATGCAAACCACGTGAAGCTGAAAATTGTACCGATGAGTTAGTATTTTTTTTACTTCATTTTTTATATTTTTCTACTTACAACACTTCTTAACTGCAATTTTTAAATTTACTAATATTTGTACTTTCGTTTCAGATATGTGGAAACATATACATGCACAAATACGATCGATTCAACCTGGTTTGTCTCGGATTCCAGCAAATCATTCCCATCTGGTCATTCTGCCCTTTCCATGTTTGCCTCTATTTTTATCGTGGTAAGAATCAGTATATAACAGTACAAGGGTGTCCCACTTAAGTCAAGCACCTTTAATTACTTTTTTATTTGTTTGCTTCGGAAAGAAGTTATTACAATTAAAGGGGAAAGTATATGAATGTGAAAGTCACTTTAAGGTTATATATATATCACAAAAGATGTGACCTTGAAACGACTATTAACTTCATAGCTCAACTTCTCTTTTAGATATAATTAATTCATTCGTATACAAATGAAGTTATTCAATTTAAATTAATTATTTAGAGACCTGACTTTGGTTATAAAGTTGCCAACAAAAAACATGTTGCAAAATAAGTCATGTAAAGTTGCATGCAAACTACCTTCCACTCACAAAAAAGAGAGTCGTGAATTGGCACGCAAGGCTTATTTATAGTGCACTGCACTTTAGTTTATTATAGATAGATAAATCTAGAAGGTTCTGTTAGGTTCAACTCTTTTATTACAATGTGAAACCATACACAGATATTTGCATTTAACAACTTTTCATGTTTCTGATCATTTGTTCGTTTTCTTAAAGGAAACGCATTTGTATATTCCCTGTGAGGAGCAATTTATTTATTATCTTATATCTTAATCCCTTTTTCTGAGCTGAGGATTAAGTCATAAACCCGGATAAGCCTGGTCAACAGCGCCAATAGCTTTTATTTAACAGAAAGGTCGTCCTTTAACGGGACACTAAGGCTCCGTCTTTGAATAATTACATTTAAGCTAGGTGTCTGCATGTTTCAATTATGACCAGTCCCATTCAAAGTGTAAAATGTAAAAGAAGAAATTTAAGAATTAATTTGTAGTTACTTGTATTACGGTATATTGTACACCACATCAACAGGTTTTAAGGGATAATGGAATGTATTTAAATATTATTAATAGTAGTTTCAATATTTAGTGAAACTAGGTTATCTAACCTGAAAATCCTAGACACACTTGTACACTATAATAATTTTTTTGTTCGCAAGGTAGTGAAATATAGATTTGCTTTCAGATTCATGTTTCTTTTACTTGAAAACGACGAGGCAGCTTTCTTCTGTCACCACCTGTTGCGGGGCGACAGTAAATTCATAAAGCCATCGGATGCCACTATTCACATTTTCAAGCTTAGAATTTCGTTTATAGCTCTGTGTCGTAAAGCCACCTAACTAGACGTCAAATTTCCAGAATTTTCTTGTATACCTCTCGAATCGAAAGCACTTTATGACTTTATACGTTTGCGATTTACCGTTCAAGGCATTTTTATGAACCCCTTATACCTGAGAGTAATCTGTTAAATGGCACTCTCTTCAAGAAGAATTTCAATATTTTTTATGTACATTAACTGTTCTTTTGTAAAGATGTAAATATTTTATGCCAAGAAATCTAGTGCCCTGTTATAACAATGAAATACCCTGTACACAATTAAAAACACTTTGTACTTTTCTGTTGCAGTGGTACTTACAAAACCGTTTGCCAAACCGGACGTTTTTTTTGAAACCGTGGCTGCAATGTATGGTGTGTTTGTGGGCTGTGATATGCTCTGTAACCAGAATCAGTGATAATAGGCATCACTGGTGGGATGTGCTAGCAGGGGATGTCCTAGGACTCATTTTAAGTGTGCTAACGGTGACAGTGTCATGCCGCAAGTTTCGCTTCAATGCAGACGTGTCGCAAATCTTCAACGAGCCCTTAGAGAACGGTCAAATTGGCTTCAACAGTAAACGACAGGAGAACGTGAAGCAATTGTTGCACGAAACAACCGTTGATCTTCAAGAAACTCGTGAATTGAAGAACGTCAAACCAACATCTTGGAAAGAATAATCTGAAAGAAGCAAGCTTTGCCTTTCTTATACTCATTCAAATTTATTTATTTTCGTTGGTTGTCAAGAAAGTACATTGGTGTAACTAGAGACCAGTATACTTCTCATGTGAGAAATTCAGAATACTTTTAATTTCCAAATTGGAAATTTAGTAATTTAGCGGTAGCAAATTTAGTAGTAGCAAATCCTTGGTTAAAAATGTCCAAGTTACTAAATTTTTAAGTATCCAAATCGCTAAGTTGGCACAAACAGAAAGTGTAGTTACGCCAGTGGGAAAAAGAATCATTTCAATGACTAGTCCAGAAAAAGAAAAAAGAGAAGGTTAACAATAGAATAATTTTAAGTAGCGTACGATTACCACTAGTGGTAAAAGGTATTTCCTTGTTTTGAAATGGTGAAAGCCGTTGAAAGCAAGTAAAACGTGTTTCGCCAGTTTTTTGAGCGCTTTGATTTATAGCAAAAAGCATGGTAAAATAATCAATAATTCCTTTCGATTTTTATGAAACTGTTAATACAAGTGACCGTATTAATTGATTATGAGACACAATCTAGTAACATTCCTCTTAGTAAAGATTGAAAGCATGAAAATGAATTTGAAGCAAAAATGTAATTTAATTTTACAATTGCAAAATTAGAAGATGTTTATATTTTCTTTAAGCCAATTATCAAAAATAAAACTTTTGATAATTTTTAAAGGTATATCTTAATTGTATTTATTTTTTTTTAATTAGAGCATTATTTATCTATTTTACAGAATTATAAAATGTTTGTTTTAATGAAGCTTTACATACAAATACTATTTATTCAATGATTTAATTATTGGTCTTATTGTTAAAAAAAATTGTTTTACTTTGAAGTTGAAGAAAATTTTTATTTTCAACAGTATTGTTTAGAAGTACTTACATGTTAATACGTGGACAAAATTGAAAGAGGTTTTATTTCAATCACCTAAAAGTATATCAGTTTATTTATAATAGTACAAATATACCGTTCAGCATTAATGGTTCCGTCCACGGATACTACATTATTCAGATATTGCAATTTTTGATTGACCATAATTATAAATATTTTCATTCAATAATAATTGTCTGTTGTATAATTATGTAAAGTTTCATTAATAAATAATTGTCTCAAATTTAGCTCCATACAAGAACTTTTAGTCTAATAATAAAATTTGATTCTGTAATTGTACAGAAGGATTCTGTAATTGTATGAAAAGTATTGTAAAAGAAGCAAATTGCTGTCACATAGGTATTACGGTACCAAGTGAATCATGGTACATTTAAATGATATTATTGTAAATAAATAAGAATTAGAAAAGAATTTGCTAAAAACTCAAAATTCTAAATTGAAAGTTTTTAAACCAATGTAAATAAAATAGAGTATTACAATTTTTACAAGTAGAATATTTTTATAAGGAAGTGTTAGTATTTTAATAAGAACAAAATGATTTAAAAATCCTCCATCTACTTATGGATCAAAGAATCCTACATGAATTTTGTAAAACATGCACAAGATTTCTGTACTGATGAAACTTAAGGTATGGTGCAAAATATAATTGTAAGCACAAGTCATTATATTCAAAACAATAAATTGTATCCCAAGTCTGTATTAAGTTAAGGAAAGTAGATTGTACTATTTTATGTGGTAGCTACAAAAATAGTTGCAAGTTTGAGCTGTGTACCTTTTAATTTCAGAATAGAGATTCCCAGTGTGTTCTAATAAAAATACAAAACAATTGTGAGGTAATAGATTGTTTGAACAGGCAATAAGAATTTTATTGAGAAAAGTTTTGAACGTATGAGAAATTTTTATAGCAACCTAACCTTTGGCATTTCATGTCACTAAATTGTTTCTGCAAGGAGTATACTTTAAATACTATGTTATACATACAATTTTTAAGAGTCATTCCTGTAAAAAACTTCCAATATTTAAACACAGTGTGAGTGTTAAACTTTCCTCTATTAATTATAAACTTATATTTAACTTTTAAGTATAGACATGAATAGTATTTCTGAGGGGATACACTGCTGCAAGTATTATAATTTCAAATCACAGACTTGTTCAGAACAAAAAGAGATCTTAATTACGCTCTCATAAATAAAAATGGAGGTACCATTTTTTATTTTCAACAGTTTCGTGATGAAAAAAAAGTAGAAATGAATTGTTCCGTACAGAAATATAAATCTGGTATATACGGCAACCGATATGTAGAGTAATACGTTAAAATTTTAGATCGATCGTTTTGTCAGATTTTTTTTATTTCTGTCGCAAAAAAATCTTTCAAAAAAACGCGTCTGCTCGATGCTTTGAATTCTGTTGAAAAATTCAACAATGTACCTTTAAAGATTTATTTTTGCGAAAAATGAAAACAAAATTGATTTTTTTAAATCTAATTAATAGTTATTTATTTTGGTATTGTAAAATAGTAAATTACATGATATTCTCGTACAAAGAAAGAATAGCTTTGTCGTAATTAATTCCATATTTGCTCAGATAAAATCCAGTCTTCTTAAGCTTTAATTTATGATAGCTATGTACATATGTACATGTTAGATGATCCCAAAAGTTTTTTAAATTTTTTAAATAAAGTAATGCATAATTCGTATAGATCCAAAGACAAATTTTTGTTTATTATTTTTAATTACTGGGTTTCTGTTTTTATTATTATTGTTTAAGATAATATATTCCGAACTTCTGGAATCATCTAATATACCCAGCATTCCACTCACATATATCGCAGCTACGATATAATCGATATGTGATCCGTATTTAATAGAGTACTTCTAGAAAAAGTAAAAATGTAATTCGAACAATTATTTTGAAACAAGTGTAAAAAATAATTAATTTGCAACTTGTCAGATGATTAAGCATTTATTCGTTAATTATAATTACATTCCGATTGTGATGCGAAATTGTAAATATTGCGAGTTCTGTGCAAGCGGAACTTCCGGTTGTAGAAAGTATTGTAATATAGTCATATTTTAAGTATGTACCTAAATTTGTACGTGTATACATACAAATATATTTCTGCACGTTTGAATATATGTCAGTCTTTCAGATTATTCAAAATTCTCAAATTTTCAAAATTTTCAAATTTCGAATTTCAAAAATTAAAAATTTCAAAATTCAAAAATTTCAAATTTCAAAAATCTCAAATTTCAAAATTCTCAAATTTTCAAATTTCAAAAATCTCAAATTTCAAAATTCTCAAATTTCAAAATTTTCAAATTTCAAAAATCTCAAATTTCAAAATTTTCAAATTTCAAAATTCTCAAATTTCAAAATTCTCAAATTTCAAAATTTTCAAATTCCCAAATTCTCCAATCTCCACGTCCCACAATTCCAAAACCTGTCGCCCTCAAAAATCCCCCAAAAAGCGGCAATATAACAAGAGCCCTAAATCACCAAACTCCTCCTAATAAAATCAAACTAAATATCCCAAAAATGCACAAATAATCTTTGCACCCTTAAAAACTACCATTTCAATAAATCCTAATAAAAAAGCAGCAAAATTGATGACCTCCAACAATGAAACTCGAAACAAATGGTCGTAAAAATTTCCGAGACCCGGATGACATTCCGAGTCATTCACCGATGACCTTTGAATCAGCAAAAGAAAAGAAGAATTCGGTGACCCAGAAATTTCCCTTTCGCGGGTCGTTCTCTTTTCTTTTATTTTTTTCGCCCGTTCGCGCGCAAATGGATGGGATTTAATTTAGCGGTCACGTTGAAGCATTTTTCTTTCCTTTTTTTTTCGTCAAAGCTGCTGTCCGTATATCCGCGTAGAGTAGCGTCGTGATTTTTTTGTTCCTTCTCTCTTTTTCGCGAACGAAACAATTGGGCGAGGGGTGGAGCGTGGAAACGGGAGAGCGTGGAGACTTGGATAAAAGAGAGACCAAGTGGCAGATTAACGTCAACCGACGTAGCCCATTCATAACTGACCTCTGCCGCCTACCACCTATACGCGAGCCTCTGCACACGACGATTTATAGAATTGGAAAAGCGATATCGGAAAAATAGTAAACTTTATTGATGAATCCCTTCCCGACCTTTAAGCGCGATATCGCCGCGATCGAGTCGACCGCATTCCCCTGCTGGCGTCGTGCTACAGGTGGCATGTAAGCCAATCCGTGGATACTCTATACGTTTTTTTTTTTGCCAAAACGCGTGTACATAGGGGAAAAGCTGGTAACGCTGGTCACTCAAGCAACGATTTTAATAAAACAAAGAACGCCCGAAAATATCGTGGGATTTTTGCTGGGAGCTTCACTTACGTAATTATGGGTTGTGCATGTGACCATGTGGCACACGGGAACTTGGGAACTATGGGATATGGCAGGTTTGGATCAAATTTTAGGAATATGAAATTTGGCAATTGGGAATTTTATGATTTGGGGATTTGGGATGAGGGTTTGGGGATTTTTGGATTTGGGGATTTTTGAATTTGGGGATTTGGGGATTTGAGGATTTGGGGACTTAGGAAGTTGAGAACTTGAGAATCTAGGAATTTTTTAATTTTAGAATATGGAGAGTTGGGGATTTAGGGATTTAGAAAGTTCAGAATTTGAGAATGTGGGGATTTTATAATTTTAGAATAGGTAGATTTTGGATTGGGGATTTAGGGATTTAGGGATTTAGAGATTTGAGGCTTTAGAAATTTGGGGATTTAGAAAGTAGGAAATTGAGAAATGTGAATATTTGAATATTTAGGAACTTCTAATAAGTACAATTATTGTCCTAATTTATATATGTAAAAATAATTGAACATTGATCCAAGCAAGTCCAAATCAATATTTGAAAATATTTTTAATTTTCAATTGCAAAATTGATCTCATAATCAATTATATTTTGGACGATTTTGTTAATAATAAAAATATGATTAATAATACTAAAAAACTAGTAATAATAATAATAAACTTAATAATAAAAATAAAATTTCATTAGAACACATTTAAATTTACCGCCAGCCGAGATGACATCCGGTTTAGATCAGTATGGCGGAACGCTTCCCGAACAGTCCCACGAGGATCACTGTAATACGCCGTAAATGTCACCTTGCGTTACTTTTATGTCATAAAATTATATTATACACCTGCTATGTTTCGAAATTACCCATTTAATATGATACAAACTGCAAACTAATGCAATGTTCGATGCATATCCATGATATATGAGTTAGGTCAGTTCATACTCTTGATACAAGCACTTGCATTAATTTGCAGAGTGATTACGAATGAGTAGCCGAATCTGCAAATGGCAGAAATGTATATGATATATGAACTCGTCGAATGTAATTCAGTCAAAACCAGATGTACATCTACGAATCATTTTCCAAATGGACTTCTTAACTTCAAGAATACTTGTCAAAGATTTTACTAACACTTACAACATTCGAATTTATATTAAACTTCTGAAAATTTGGAAATTATAATGGGCCCGGATATTTTGCATCATGAAAAGAGGTTAGTTTTAATTTTATAGATCAAATTTAATTTGTAAGGTTACATTAGTTTTGTGATAGTGGAATTTTTTTTTGAGTTGGTACTATTTTTATTTTAGTAATTTCTACAATTTTTATAAAATAAATTATTTCAATTAAATTATAATTAGGTAATTTATAGGTTATTTCAAGTATACATAAATTGTTATTAGTCAAAGAATATAGGATATTGTAGAATAAATGGATCTTGAATAACATCAAGTAATTAATGTTCTGAATTAGTTTCATTTAGTAACAACCTCTTGTTTTAATTTTCTTTGTTCCATCGACTATCGGTTACATTGCATACGCATCATTAAAGGGGTTGATTATGTTTAATTCTTGTGTTAATTAATAACCGTGTATCCATTTCCACATTGGAGTTTATCCGTTCAAATATTTCAGAATCAGCTAAAAAATTCCTTCTTCAATTTTTATTGAAAATAAAATTTATTTTCTTCAGACCCAAAGTCTAAAATTACAAAATTTTTGAAACATTTTCTTTAAAAGAAGTCTCAAAGTTCTAAATTTCCAAATTCAAGAGTTCAAATATTTCAAAATACCTAATTCAAATTTCCAAATTTTTAGAATTGTTACATTACAATATTCCAAATCATAAAAACCCAAAGTGAGAGTTGCTAAGTTTCCAAATAACATTTCCAGATCTGGCAGGTCCTCTAATAATATGAATTTAAAATATGAACATTTCGCAAGATTATTATTAACAGTGTAGTTTCTTCGAAACGCGGATAAGTGAAACCGCAGATACGGGATCTGAATACGTGTATCCTACTGTACTAACAAAAGCAGTAGAACAGTGGGGGTAACAGTGGCAGTGAGTGGGCGATGGTGGGTGGTGGTGATAGTGGGAATGGGAGTCCAATAGTGACCAGAAAGGATGCAGTATCGAAGATATCGGCGTATGGGACACTGTAGCTTTGCGGAGTTTAATATCGTGGCATTCCCTTTATACTAGGAACGGAGCACAACGCGAGATCCACTTTAATCCTAATATACCATACGTACGGTGGGCCGGCAAAATAATGACCGCGGCTCCGAAACGTCGAAACGCTTATCATTTCTGTAAACGCGATTAAAACAAAGAAAATCGTTCGCCACTGTCATCGACGAACTTCTATCAGATTTTCTGACTACGCGAAATTTCGATCGGACCGCGTTAGATGGCGGTACCGGTTGCAGGAAACCATGCCTCTTCGGACAAAACATTTTCCGCTCGCGATGTTTGTTCGAATCGTGGGAATATATTTGTCCCGTGCGCTCTCGGTACGACGGGTTCTTGACCAGCAAAGAATCTTCAGAAAATGTAAATTTCTCTCTGAAAAGACGCGTTTGGGCAACTATTTTCCGTACACGATTGAGATGATCGCGATAATTATGCAGGAATAATTGTGGAAAATATTTTCCGCAAGCTAATGGGTCAGTTATTTCGCGAGCTACGGTATAGGCTAGGGAGAACGTACGCCAAGACCAGAAGGACGTCCTGTGACGCATTCAATTGAAAATCTCAAGGCACCCTCGTGCACCGTTCGAAGATAATATATAGGGTTACATTACCTGCAAAATCGATCGGTTATTTTGGTTCGACGGAGAATTTTTAATGAAATGTTGCTAGCATTTTTAACGGACTAATACTCCGCTATGAATTTTTAAATAAAATCGGTTTGAAAAATTGTAGCGGGAAATTTGAAAGGAATAATAGATAGCTTGAGTCGTACACGTTGAATTGCAGAAATTGGATTACGTTTAATTAATATATTATTGATCTTTGAAAGCGTTGGTAACTAGGACCTTCTGGGATGGACTACGTTCTCTAAATTTAAGTGGTAACGCCCCGTACTATAATTAATTAATAAGTATTTAAAAATTTCTAAATTTGAAATTTAGAAATTTAAAAATTTAAAAATTAGTAAATTTGAATACTGCACAATTTGAAAATATAAAAATATAAAAATATGTAATATGGCCATCAATATAGTAGAAATTACGTAACAGAAGTAGAAGGTAAATTGTAACACGTATTCTGTCTTTATTGCTTTTAGTAGTCTGCAAATTGTTTCTCTGCATTTTGCGAATATCCCTCGCACCCTGTACCCTTTTCTTTTAATTTGAAACATCTATGGACCGAAACGAGACTAAATTATAGGCGGGGATATTTAAGGGGGATGGTAGAACATCGCTCTGGCATTCACCCCCATCGAAGGAAGGGTAAGCTAGCAGAAGTGGGACCAACGTTATTTCTCTGATCCCATTTTTTGAAAGATTAAATGAAATTTCTAAAATAACCTATATATATTATTTTATTGTTTCATTGAAATCAAATGTATACAAGGTATACACTTTTAGAGCATCCACTATTTTTTTTATGTTTCTAATAATTTTAAAAAATGTTTGCAATAATAATTATTGTCAATTTCTAAAATTTCTAAATTTTTAAATTTGTAGATTTACTAAAATTTATATTTTTAATTTCTTAAATTCAAAAATTTTCAAATTATCAAATTCTCAAATTTTCAAAATTCTAAGCTTGTAAATTCCAATTGTCCAAAAATCCAAAATTGCATAATTTTAAAATTTTAAAAATCTTAAACTAAAAATTTAGAAATTTTTAAAACTTCAATTTTCCAAATTACTATTATTCGGTACTTGTCATTCCTAGTAACATTCGCCATTTCCCTAGTAATGACTACAACAAATAAATTCCCTATACTCCCTCTCGCTATATTGCCCGTTTCCTTAGATCAGTGCCATACTGACTGTACTCAACACGGTACCTAGACAAAAGGTACCTTCACCCTATAAAAAACTCTAGATCAATTTCCCCATTTGCCCTTCACTAAAAATTTCCTACCATACAACATAAAATAAAAAAGCGCTATTTTAATGTACGACAAAAAAGGGACTCGTTCCTCCCAAAATCGGTTAACCCTTTTACCCGAGCGTTTATCCGTCGCGAGACAAAGATGGAAGAGCACTATCGAAGAAAGAAAGGGAAAGAAAAAGCGGAGAAGGGAGGAGGCGAAAGATAAGGAAAGAAACGAAGTCTCGCAGGCTCGTCGTGGCACTTTCACCTGCCGGGCCCTTAAGGGTTTCAAAGTATACGCAGGAGTTAGAGCGGTGCTAGTTAGAGCAACAGAGAAGCTCACGCAGACGCTGGTTACACTCGCGTAAACAGCGGAAGTCGCAAGTGGCAACGTTAGTCCCGCGGCCGCGGCGATATTCCTTTAATTTGACGATATCCGCTTTAACGGAAAGCCGGTTGATACGTTCCCTTTAATATATACAACATAAAAAGTTTCACGACGAATAAAGCGACCGGGAGTGGGAGAATGGAAGCGAGCGAGCAAACGTGCGAAAGAGAGAATGCGATAGAGCGGGAGGGTGAGAAGAGGAGTCGTAGGTGGAGTGTGAGTTAAGGGGCGCGCGCGCGCACGAGACAGAGAAGGAGGGGGAGCAAGAAGGAGAAAGAGAGGAAGTGACGTGGTGGGGGGAGGACAGAGCGGGGGGACAGGGGGCTTCCCGCTAAACAGAGACGCCTGACGCTCGAGAAAATTTTGACCGGCGCTACCGCATCTCCATTTTTTCCACTCGTCAAATTTTTACTTATACAACGCGAATATATCGGTGCAAAAATTCTTATCAATCGGACGACGACTGCAGAGTCGAAGGAACCCCGAAATTTCTCGAACAGCAAAAGTCGTTTATTTTATAGGGACAGGACCGGTCAATAGCAAAGCGGCCCGTCGTTCGAGAGACAAAGAGAGCCGCGGCACGAGCGAAAGCCGCGGCCGACGAGAGAGCGAGAGAACCCGAACCGAAAGAGAGAACGAGAGAGAATGAAGGAGATAGAGTAAAGAGGACAGCCAGTGGGAGAGACGAGGAGAAAGATAGCCGAACGTGCAGAGACGATGGCTCTGAGCTACCGGCCGCTTTCGTATTGTCCACGCATCCCTTCGAATAAATAGCGGCCGGAATTTGCAGGTTCCTCGAAAAAAAATCTTTTCTCTCTGATTCGATGGCGCCCGATGCCCCCGCCATTCTCAGAGATATGTTTCATTTTTAGGGCGCCGCGAGAAAATTGTTGGAAAATGGCGGAACGTTTGCGGATGGTCAATTCCATGGCGGTCGGCGAGGTCTCGTTTATTTTTGCATTTTAAGGCATTGAAGAAAAGAAAATGTTAAAAAATAGGAAAAAGCGAGCGCTCGGGCACAGGGTGAGCCGAAGAGAGGGCGGCTCGAGGGAGGGATCGGGGGAGTGGAAAAGATGTGCACAAAAACGTACTGACGAACATACAATGAAGCAAAAAGAGGTATCTAACCTACCAACGCGAAGTAGAAATCTGTAGACCCGGGAAAGAGAAGAGTTGCGCTCGCAGGATCGGGGTATGACTAGCTCGGACCGACTAAAAGTTGAAAGAAGACGAGTTTCGTCGACGGAATTCTTTAAAACACTTGTACAACCCACCTGCATTGATGCGCCATGCGTCGTTTGTTGCTGGACGACAATGACGCGAAACGTTCGCCGAAAGAATTCCTACGTTTATTCATCATTTTTCAATTGTATTCAGCGAAAACTTGTTTCTTCCGTGTATCGTAATGACACTTTATTCCTATCTACAGGCAGCTTCACCCATGGTGCAATGTCTTATGGGGGATAAGAATATAGAATAAAATGGCACCAGCGTAGGATTATGTGGAAGAAGTAGGGGAAGCCTCCACAATATTAATTATCAAATTTAGGGGTTTGAACATTTAAACTTCTGTATTTTTTATCTATTCCAAATTTAGAATGTTGAAAATTAAAATTTTTATACACTTAGGAATTATATCTGAAGATTTTGAAATTAAAAAATATGGATATATGAGAATTTTTAAATAAGTGTCCCCTATGAATATTAAGCTCTACTGTTCTCATTAACTTTTTAAAAATGTCTTGCAAACCGAAAGAGAGAACGAGAGAGAATGAAGGAGATAGAGTAAAGAGGACAGCCAGTGGGAGAGACGAGGAGAAAGATAGCCGAACGTGCAGAGACGATGGCTCTGAGCTACCGGCCGCTTTCGTATTGTCCACGCATCCCTTCGAATAAATAGCGGCCGGAATTTGCAGGTTCCTCGAAAAAAAATCTTTTCTCTCTGATTCGATGGCGCCCGATGCCCCCGCCATTCTCAGAGATATGTTTCATTTTTAGGGCGCCGCGAGAAAATTGTTGGAAAATGGCGGAACGTTTGCGGATGGTCAATTCCATGGCGGTCGGCGAGGTCTCGTTTATTTTTGCATTTTAAGGCATTGAAGAAAAGAAAATGTTAAAAAATAGGAAAAAGCGAGCGCTCGGGCACAGGGTGAGCCGAAGAGAGGGCGGCTCGAGGGAGGGATCGGGGGAGTGGAAAAGATGTGCACAAAAACGTACTGACGAACATACAATGAAGCAAAAAGAGGTATCTAACCTACCAACGCGAAGTAGAAATCTGTAGACCCGGGAAAGAGAAGAGTTGCGCTCGCAGGATCGGGGTATGACTAGCTCGGACCGACTAAAAGTTGAAAGAAGACGAGTTTCGTCGACGGAATTCTTTAAAACACTTGTACAACCCACCTGCATTGATGCGCCATGCGTCGTTTGTTGCTGGACGACAATGACGCGAAACGTTCGCCGAAAGAATTCCTACGTTTATTCATCATTTTTCAATTGTATTCAGCGAAAACTTGTTTCTTCCGTGTATCGTAATGACACTTTATTCCTATCTACAGGCAGCTTCACCCATGGTGCAATGTCTTATGGGGGATAAGAATATAGAATAAAATGGCACCAGCGTAGGATTATGTGGAAGAAGTAGGGGAAGCCTCCACAATATTAATTATCAAATTTAGGGGTTTGAACATTTAAACTTCTGTATTTTTTATCTATTCCAAATTTAGAATGTTGAAAATTAAAATTTTTATACACTTAGGAATTATATCTGAAGATTTTGAAATTAAAAAATATGGATATATGAGAATTTTTAAATAAGTGTCCCCTATGAATATTAAGCTCTACTGTTCTCATTAACTTTTTAAAAATGTCTTGCAAAATTTGAAGCTTCATTGCAATTGAAACATACATTATTACTAAATACTGTTTGTTGATTTTCAATTTATAAATTAAATTAATATTAACCTTTGTATCCCTCCCTGTGTCAGATGTTCATTTCAATATTTTAAAATTGTCTTTGGCTTCTTTTTAACATTGTACCGTTAATTAAAAAAAATGTTCTTTTAATTAAAATTTCGTTATATATTCAATATTCGATATTACGAATGAACAGATAGTTTGTAGCATGAAATTGAATTTTAATATGTAATTATAGAATAAATGGTTGAATCGTCTGTTATTGAAAAAGTGAAAAAATTTAGGGAAGATTATGGATTTCGAAGCAGAGATTTTTACATAGACAGGTTTTTTTTATATTTTTTTCCTCGTCCTGCGCTACCACGCCCCTTTATCCCTCAAGGCATCCTTCTAGATTGTCCCTTTTCAAACAACCTCGAAAACTCTCGGTATTGAGTTCGTTCCGAGAAGCCTGATACCGCTATACACTGTCCAACCTTTTTGATTCTGAATGACAGAACTAAATGTTCGTTTCTAAAGAAGAGAAAAAAAGAGAAATAAAATTTTGCAGCGAAGAGAAAATATTTTTAATGATTATACTCATTTTCATAATTAACCGTGGCATTTTAACGAAGAATAGTCTAGACCTTTCATTAAATAATATTCGATTATTAAATTGAAATGTGATGTATTATTCAATAATCTTCAGCATAAATTTTAAGTCATAATTTTGCTTTCAAGTTATTTAATATATGAATTATAAATTACTGTAATATCCATTATACATTATATTAAATATTAAATATTGTAATATAACATTTAATATATAAATTTTTTATAATTATATGCACATGCATATGAGTATGTGCATACACATTATGAGTATGTATATTGTAAACCATATTGCAAGGAACATCTGATATGGGGGTTGCTAATAACCAATAAGGTTGATGTAAGCTTAAACATGAAGTAAAAAAAATATATTGAAATTTCATGGTTGAATTTCACTTGATGAAACATGAGCTTCTGTTATTCGAACAAAGAAGATATTATGGGCTCTTATTATCTAAACTATCTAGTTATCTCAATCCTAGCTTGCATACAGTAGATTCAATCCTACATATTATTATTCCTGTTTTAAAATATTTAATCTTTTTAAACTAGAACTTCAGTCTAAAATATATTATAATATATCTGATTACAATATACTGTTACATATTATAGACTATAGACAACATTGATAACTAAATTATAAACTGAAGTTTGATTTCATAAAATTATTTTAGCTTACAATGTAATATAACAATGTCCTAAATATGAATTTAATTAAATCTAAAAATTGTAGAAGAAATGAACATCTTAAATATTGACAATGTTAAAAAAAAAACCAATATAATAACTTAGCCCCACTTTTGTCTACCGTATAATATATAATATATATAAACATTTTCTCGACACCCTGTAGTTACAGTTCAATAAAATTAAATATTAAAAAAAAACAACAGGAGAATGCAGAGGTTTCATAACCTAACATTAACCAGAATCCAGCGATAATTACCGAAATTACTAAGTAATTTGAATGTCTGCGTTTACGGAGGAATTTAGAGTATATCGAGCGGGCGGCGAAGAAAAAGGAAGAAACGAGATTCATATTCGTGTGTACGATAGTTTAGAAAGACGAGACGAGAACGAGAGGACTGACGAAGGTATTCAGGTAGTTTCCTACATTCAGGCGAATCCGTTTACTTGCCCGCCCTGGAGCGCCCTGCACCGCGATGAATGTCTGTGCGTTTCCCTTTTGCCCTCTGCTTCTCATCCCGGCCCGACCAGCGTCAGGCCAGGTCTGGCCAACCATCACCCGATACCTTGTCCCACACCGCACTGTACCCCGTGCTTTTGTCTCGGAGAATGTGCACAATACCTCTCCCGAGGAACCCAAGCCCTGCATCTTTCCTTCCTACGTCGGATCTCTCTCTCTCGCCCTCTCCTTCTTTTTTCCTTTCTTTTCTTTTCTTTCTTTCCTTTCGTTTGATTCGGGTTCCATGACTCTGTGAAAAGAACTTAATCACACGCGGCACCAAGGATTTGTCCCTCCTCAGGTAGCCTCGTATCACCGACAGAAACTCTTTACATTTCCTCCCTTATACTACGTACTTTTCACCACCTTTCTATGAACGAATAACGTTACGGTAAGTACTTTTCCGCTGTGGATAGCTATTTGCTTGTCTTATGGTTTCTTACCCCATACGCGACGCACAGGAACGGTAGGCTTCTCTAGGGAAAATGGCGGTGTGGGAGGAAGGCATCGTTTCATGGTTTTCTGGGATAAATCTGAAAATAGCTTTCGACCTTAGAAACGTTGATATTGAAATATTTCGAAGTTTGTAACTTTGAAGATTTACGAATGTAGGAATTTTTTACTTGTCCATTAGAAATTTCGTCTTTAAAATTTTGTCACTCGGAAGCTTGAAAAGGTACAGAAATTTGGGACGAAACTTTCTATCCGCTTTTACTGCTTTTCCCCAGTTTCTACACGCGTGTATCGTTCGCACATGCGTACATTACGCATTCAGCGCATAGGTTAGAATATTTAAAATTCTAAAATAAACATACCTTCCTCAATCCTACATTTCACTGCGTTTCTGCACGTGTCCGTATACCTACGCATTTTATTCATCCTGTAGGAGGTTAGAAATTCTTAAAATCTCAAACTCTGTAAACGTGGCTTCCTAACATTTTCACAATCACTTTTACCTGTATATTAATTTTCATTGTGAAAGTTTAGAAGGTTTAATATCTTACACGAAATAATAAACTAAATAGAGAAAAAATTCGCAAAAACGTCGACGTACATTTTCATCTGCCAGTTTTCGTATGTTTCGCTGTGCATCTCCCACGCGCATGCGCATAACTGTGCACGGTATTCGGCGCGCGGAAGTTTCATTTTTCAAATTTCTAAGCAATTAAATGTTACAAACCGGACTTTACAGTTATCTTTGCCAATTTTGTTTTTTCTATTCTATTGTGCACGTGCATTCTATTCAACGCTTAAAATGTTATGGATATTACTTCTACGTGTCTTAACTACGAATGGATACTAAAATTTTATTTAGACGCTCGTTGTTGTAGACTTTAAAAAAGACGAATCAAATCAATATATCGCGTTGATGCAATAGCTACAAAAAAATAATTAAAACTAAAAATAAAAATAAGGTATTTATTTTTATGAAGATTAAATTATAACAAGTCGAAAATATTTTTTAATTTTTTATTCGAATCTTACCTTTGGCGATGTCCGTTGTTAAATGAAAGAGGAAAGGATGCAAGGAAAGAGACAATCGATTTTTGAAAAACTTAACGTATTCTATATTTAACAAACATTTCTTTCATGTTCGATATTTACAATCACACAATGCGCGTGTATTCGCTAACATATTCGCCGTTGAATATTTACAGTACATAATTACAAAGTGCGATACGGACGGAGGCGATCAGCAGGCCGAATTCCTCTTCTCCTGTGTAGATACACATTATTTCCTTATTACATACAACCAACTACGATAGTCGAATATTTTTTTACGCTTTCTTCTTTTTCACCCTTCAATAGGATACGAATTATTGTACCGTTTGATGCAAGAATTTTCTCCACGAAAATCATTTTTAAACAATAGCTTGATACCATAAATAAAATAACCATAGACAAATATTAAAAATTAATTTCAATTAAATTGTTGATTCACAAAATTTGCTATAACCTCATTTTTGAAAATACAGCAAAGCAGTTTAAAATATATGCAGAGAATATAATTATATGAATTAATTATAAAAATAATTACATGAAGAAGGAAATTTTGAGACAATTCTTGCATCGAACACTGCAATTCTTTTCTACTCCCTACCTACGATTATCGAGGTAAAATCAATAAACGTAGAAAACGAAATCTTTTATCGAACATTAAAATAGTGTTTTCTTTCGTTCGAGCCAAGGAGATGCAAATATATTGAATTTCGTGTTTATCTCCGTTTGTATTGTCAACTACAATATAATTTCCATTGGCCCTTGTCTATATTTATACAGGTAATGGAATGCTTTGAATTAGAACGCAATTTGAAAATTCTCCCTTAAAGAATGGAACAGGATCACAGTTAAGTGAAAATTAATTTAACTAATTTTCATTCGGTTCATTCATTCGATACGCTGCGTGCTGCAGATTCGGAACGAAATTCGTATTAGATTCTCTAATTTTGGACTCGTTAAAAATATTTCGAACTTTCTTTTATATATTGCAAACTGCAAATTATTCTAAATTATATACTGAAAGGAAATTTTCATTTCGTACTCGAGATATGAATAAATATTTTCGACGAATAAATTGTACAATGAAAATTTAGCATAATATCCAAAGATAAAAATATTGAAAATATTAAAAGTGTAAAAAACAAAATATTGAGAGTGTAATGAGAGAGTAAGGTCACGCGAGTAAAAAAATATCGAAACACAAATTTCATTTATATAGAAATAAATCGCACAGCACGCAACGTCCCAACAGAAAATTTAAATAACAGTCATCACGCATAAACTTGATTTCGTATAATTCTATCTAACATCTAAATGAGTAGCTTTTGAATTCGGCGCGCCGAAAAGACACTCTCTGATCCGTCGTTCGGTTCTATACATGTAAAAGCTTATACAACGGTAAGAAAACGAAAATAGCTTGATACGTTGAGACATTTCGATTTACAGTAGTCCCTGTACTTCCTCTCGTTCCAGTTTCACAACGGCGTCGTTGTTCTTTTTTGGTGTTCACCCCTTTTGCCCGTTACCTTCTACCCTCTTTTTACATTCTGAATAAATGTTGAAATGAACGATGACAATTTTATCGATGTAACGCGTTGACTGGCATGAAAATGTCATTAATTTCGTTGCAAAATTATTTTAGAAGATTTTAAAGAATTTTAAGAAGTTCAGTTTTAGGACACTTATTTTTTAATAGATGCACATTATTGTATCATTTTCTTTAATATATAGAGGGTACGTGGTAATTGAATATTGAAAATTGATGCAAATTATCACAATTCAGTACTGTTCTAATGTTAGCAATACAGGGTGTCTCACAACTGGTGGTCCTTGAAATGGGAGGTAGCTGACGTTATTCTGAATAAGATTTCCCTTTGCAAAAATGAGGTAGGAAGCTTCGTTTTTGAATTATTAAGGAAAAACGCGGACCAATCAGAGAGCGAGGATTGCGCATGCGCAGACGCGAGAGCGACAGCTTCGAGCCTAATGGCTGAGCGCGCGTAATCCTCGCGCTCTGATTGCTACGCGTTAGATTACCACACGTTGCATTAGTATGCGTAGAATTATCACGCGTTGCATTACTACGCGTTGGTTAACTACGCGTTAGATTTCCACGCGTTAGATTCCTACGCGTAGAATTACCACGCGTTGTATTACTACGCGTTGGATTACTACGCGCTGAATATCCACGCGTTGGATTACTACGCGTAGGATATTCACACGCTTGGTTACTACGCGTTGGATTACCGCACGTTGCATTACTACGCGTAGAATTACCACGCATTGCACTACTACGCGTAGAATTACCACGCGTTGTATTACTACGCATTGGATTACTACGCGTTACTACGCGTTGGATTACTACGCGTTGGATTACTACGCGTTGGATTACTACGCGTTGGATTACTACGCGTTGGATTACTACGCGTTGGATTACTACGCGTTGGATTACTACGCGTTGGATTACTACGCGTTGGATTACTACGCGTTGGATTACCGCACATTGCATTACTACGCATGAAATTACCACGCATTGCATTACTACGCGTTGGATTACCACGCGCTGGATAGCTATATAACTAACTAACGCGTTATCTGAAGTTGCCGTTCTCGCGTCTGCGCATGCATAATCTCTCGCTCTGATTAGTCCGTCTTTTTCCTTAATAATTCAAAAACAAAGCTTCACACCTCACTTTTGCAAAGGGAAATCTTATTCAGAATAACATCAGCTACCATTTCAGGGACCAATAGCTGTGACACACCCTGTATTACAACTTCAGTAGCAGTGAAGTACTATTACTCTTGCAATAACTTTACTACTACTATAAAATGATAATTAAAAATGAAACAATATAACAAATTATTAATAAGAATTAACATTTTAGTCTTAGCTTGCTTTTCAGACACTCAGAAATATTATTTGACTGAATCAACGCTGGTTACCATGACAGTCCACGCGTTAAAGTCTCTTTTTTTCTTACGTCAGACGATCAATATAAATATACTATCATTGTTCCAGGGTTTTCAATATCTCAAGCTATCTTAGCATTGACAATACTTCATTCTTGTCAATAAGCATCGACTTCAAATACTCAATATACAATTGCTCGTCTGAAATTTTCATTGGGTCACATTTCGATATTACATCGTGCAAAAATATTAACTCACTCAATTTTATGAAAACACAATAAAGAAATAATAATAATCATTAGCTTTGAAACGTTCGGCTATACAGGGTGTTTCAAAAATCACCCCCAAACATGTCAAAAAATGAAGCAACTTTTTGTTGGAAAAATAAATTAAATTCATTTAAAAATAACTAAAATAGTATTCTATTTCTTGTATAATCAACGTGATAATTTTTTGCAACACCCTGTACATCGAATAACTCACGTTAAAGACCTTCTCGTGCAAAAATCTCACAGATATTAAAATATGAACACGAGGGTAGAACCGAAGATCATTTTCTCTTTTCTAGTGTTAAGATTATAACGATATGTAATTGATCCATAATTAGAAGCGTTTCTCGATTTGCTTAACAGAACTTGTATATTATTTTCCCTTCGTAATTACAGTGTTCTCGAGCGATGGAGGTACGAATAATTTCTTGATCACACCGTGACAAATACGTACCGTTGAGAAATTCGATTTGAATTCTTATCTTATCATAAACACGCCATGTATACGTGTATAAAGTAAATAGCTTCGTTCATTGTACAGGTAATAACCGTCTGATGATCGTAATTCAAAATAATTTCACCTCGCTGTATCGTTTTACGTCAATTTTCGGAAGGTTGTCGATTTTAATTATTATAAGTTACAGTGAGGCGAGATTTTTTATACCGTGTATAAACTGTTCTCTCAGTTTCGTTTGTACAGATTTGGCTAACTCGTCATGAAATGGCTATCACAATGGCCGGACGTGAAGCCAATTAAAAAACCCGAAAACAATACAAAAAATGTACAAATCCTAAACAATTGTTTGAACAATGGGAATTTTGGTTACAAGCATTCGTAAGTCTGAAAAATAGAGAGAAACGTTTTACTACTTTAATATTTTCATTTTTGTCTGAATTGAGCTTATTTATGTGTTCAGTATATCTTGTCTTTTAAGATTGTGCTTCCTTTATGCTATTTCCTATGCTCGATTATCTTTAACGTTTTGCAGACTTGGAAAAATAAAAAAATGTTACTTTCCTAGTTTTCGAAGTGCTTGAAAGATGAACGAAACTGTTATACAGATCATTTTTCAATTTTATGAGTTTCTCGTCAGTTAAAGAAAAGGGCCATCTTGGATTTTCAACCTCGCACCCAGAATAAAAACAAGGATATCGTTAAAATTATAAGAGCTTCAATTGAAACATTAAATTAAAAAATAAACTGTTACTATCTTAAGCTTGTCCAAATTTTTCTTAAGCTACATTATTTAACAAATTATACAATTATAAAATTTGAAACATGTTATAAAAAATGAATAAGCAAATTACATTAAAAAGAGAACATATCCATACAAAAATACGAACAGTCAAAAAAGTTAACGATAAATAAATGTAAGAATTACTTTTGAAATATTTAATATTCAGATGAATGCACCATCAGTAATAAAAATAATTTTAATTAACAATAATGACTCGAAAGTAAGGCACGTTTGAAAATACGTATCAAAGGGTATAAATTATTGCCTCTATTTTTCTACCTTCGTCACTCAGCAGGAAAATTATGAAATAAAACAAAAAGAATGCGGACAAGTGTTGATATAATCGCTATTATTAGACTGAATGAAATTCATGCAACGACAGGACTTTGAATTGAAATTCCACTATCGTTCGAAAGTATATTTATCAATTTATTTTCCTTTCGTTTTTGTATCAAAATGTTTCGTATAATTGTCCCAAATTTTTGGCAGTGCTGGAAGTAACTTATGTAATATGCGATATAATTCGAATTTATATTGTTTTAAAATTAAGTGAATCGTTAAGAAAATATTTTTTTCTTATTAAAATTTCTAGAATGAAAAATGTAGCTAAAATAATAAATAACTGCAAGATGATAGAAGAACCACAAAGCAGCAAATATACTTAAGATAAAAACTAATCCTTTCGTTATTAAAATTAAGTTTCATTATTAAAAGAATATGATTTGAAGAAAATAATTGATTATTAAATACAAGAGGTTTGAGCTAAAATTTAATGTAAAAAGTTATGTTCTCAGGATTTAAAATAGTATAAGTGAAATGTAACAGGGTAATAATGGATCCTAGTGAAATATGGATTTTAATCAAAACGCGATGACTAATTTAATGAACATTCGTAGAAAATGAAGCTAATGAACTCACTGTACAGTATTAATTTGACAAATTTCGATATGAAGGTCCAAAATGAACGTAGTTCACAAGTAATCGAGCAAAATGTATGATTTAACGCTTTGAATTTGGCGCTTAGACGCCATTTTGAATTTTCGATCTATATTTTTGTGTCTGCTCTTTCCGTCAAATTTTAATACAATTATATTTAATGTAACTATCTAATTTTTAAGCATGTGTCTTTAAAAATATATAAAATAACGTTTAAAAATACATAATCTAAAAAATATCGAAAGAAAGGCCAATTGCAAAAAGAGAAAAACATAAAATAAATAAAACTCCATATTAATTTATTACACAAGTTCCAACATTTTCTTTTATTTTGTTTCCTTCGTGGAAAGTAAGAAATTCGATTTTTACATCATCTTGTACATAACGTATATAATCGCATTAATTATTAACTATTATTTCTTTTTTTTATCACAGAGAAAATGCTTCAACGTAGAAACTCATGCGCTCTTCCGTGGATCAAACGTGCGGAACTTTTTTTTGTGGAACGCACAAAATAAGAAGAAAAGCCGATGAAAATTATTTTGACAAAAAAAAAAACGGAGCTTTGATTTTAATATCAAACACTTACAGAAATTGTACTAAAAAAAAGAATTGAAATGAAAGTTAGAAACGTTATGTTACTGAAAAAAATAATTTCATCTTTTAATTTTACGACACTCTCCTTCCATAAGTGTTTTATAATTTGTTTACTTATATTTTTACTAATTCCTCCTTTTTAATTAATACTATCAAGTAAGAACAGTATGTCAACACTTAACTCGTAAAAATGTTATGTACAAAGTATAATTCGATCTAGAAAATAGTTACAAACATACTATAAAAATAATAGTAATAATAATAAATACATTTAAGAAATTCTAATCGAATGTTATCGAAACTTTTTCAGTGTGCATTGCTTATGTCCTTCGTATATTATATCGTATAACAAAATACATCTTTCAACAAAGCGAAAACAATAATTGTTTAATAAAACGTTATACCCGTCGCAATCAAACAGAATCAGACGAAAATAGAGAAATAAAGCAGCACTTTCGGTCTGAACATTGATCAATACTGAAAGAAAATCAGCGATACACTGATATTTTATGTACACTCGCAGCCTTCCATTAATTTGCAAATTTTCCAAAAATTATCTTTGGAATTTTCAAAAAATTTTATCTAAATTCAAACCACATCTTTCAAAGTAACTTTGAAAATATTTAAAAGCAGCTTCCATCAATCTACAAATTTTCCAAAAATTATCTTTGGAATTTTCAAAAAATTTTATCAAAAGTCAAACTACATCTTTCAAAGTGACTTTGAAAATATTTAAAAGCTTTGAAAATTTTCAAACAAGTTTGTAAAATAATTTGGAAATAATTTTTGATAGGAAAGACAACCGAGTGTACATTTAAAAAATGGCGCGAATTTATAAATTTCTGAATGAAACAGAAAAACAATTTCGTTAACATGTTTCTTTCGCGATCAAATGCATTCAATGCAATTTACATATATTTCGATTTAATTTTCGTCAATCTTTCATTCCCTTTGTCTATCTACATACGTTACTGCAATCTTTAAAACAAAGATGCATGGTTCTCGTATAATTTGCATAAAATAGAACGTCTGTTATATCGCTTCTATGTACAGTCGTGTCGATTAGTATCGTACAACGTGCATGGGCGTAACTAGTTGAGGATCAGAGTGGGTCCCTCCCAAATTCGAAATTTACTCCTTCAAAATTATTAAAATACTTGAAAATATTAATTTCTTTTTCAAATTTTTATCCTTGAAAATTTAAAAATTACAAAATATATATCTCTACAGCTCTGCACTTCTAAATTTATAAATTGAGAAAATATCTGCACGATAAAATTTTTGTCTTGAGAAATAAAATCTAAACTTATAACAAATTCTTGAAATAATTCCAATAACATTAAAAAAAACTAAACAAATTTATTATAATATATTAAACTAATAAAATTTATAGGTTATGTGTAAAAATGTATTTAATAAAAAAGAATTTGGTTGCACTATGTTGGTAATGGAGAATAGTAAGTGGAATGGTAGGGAATTTCCCACCCCAGATAAAGTTTCTAGTTACGCCAATGTCAACACGCGGAACTTATTAGAATCGCACATCATTAATAACATCCTTTCGATTACAATACACCACAATCGAACACTTACGCTTCATCAGGGAGAAAAAAAAGAACAACGATTTTTGTTAACCAACAAACAATAACGATCTTCCCTGTCTACAATCTCGCATCAAAGTAAGTTAACTCTCGCAATACTTTGACATTTTGATTAGTTGCATAAACTGTCAGCACAAGAAATTATAATAATAAAATTGATATTAAATTTGTGTTAAATAAACCGAATTTAATAACGTGATTTTAATCGAAATTTTTAGTCAAAAATTTGGTGGTTATAAACATCGAACTGTGGCCAAGAGAGAGTACTTTATGCTCACTGAATAAATTCTTACAATTATAATGAAAATACACTATTTTATATTAAAAAAGCATTCTATTAAAATTAAAGAAAGTTTCAGAAGTGAAATAAACACTTTAATGAGTTTTAAAAATGAATAGTTTTTAACATTACTTATTTTCGCGGGAATTTAATAATAGCAACATGGCAGACATGAAGTACCACTCTCTTAGTATTGCGAGGATTAATAATGTTCGGAAGAAACTAATTAAACACGATCCTGTTGTTCTAACCTCCGTATTTTCTTTGGTATTAACGTACGAGATATCAGGTTGGTGCACATCAAATGTCGTATTTAAAAGATGCTACTTTCCGCTTTAATAACATAACCATAACCTAAATGTTTATGGTAGTCCTCTGACAGCGGTTCGCAACTTACGTTCCGCGGAATCTCAGGATCCGCATATGTATAAAATTAGTTTTTGAACTTTAATTAACATGCTGAATATTAATGAAACGTAGAACCTATGGCGAATATCATAAAAGGAAAAATTAGAAGCAAACTTCATCTCGCTTTTTCACCAATTTGTTTCAAAGTAACTTCTCGTTTAATTAAAACCATGCTCTCGATAAACGTCATGAGCCACTAATGGCACCGAACGTATTGTTTAAAATACGTACAAAAAATCGGTTAATTAAACTTGAAAAATTATTAATATTCCACAGAGGTGAGTATCTAAACTTTTTATAGAAATGAATTGAAAATCGTTAGTCTATTGTTGCGTTCGATTAAAACAGGAAAATTAATTAATACTGTTATTAATTTAATTTTTTTCCAGAACTAAGTTACGGAATTTTACGGCGGAAAAACGACATTTCATATGCACCAACCTAATAATTATGAAGTCGGCGAAAGAAAAGTTCTTTGATTAAGCAACAAATCCAATGGTCTCGTATAAAAGGCACGTGAATGGAAAAAAAGAAACAGAAACGTAAGACGAATTTTCTACTAAAACCTTACGTTCCTTGTACATTAAACTTAACAGGCTGTTCGTATATATAGAGATCAATCGAAAATCAAGTATATAATTATAATAAGAACAGAAAGGTTAAATAACCAAAATATTATTGAAGAAAACATAAAATTAACATGTAACTCGTATTCTAGTACTCGGAGACCCGTGACTGGGACAATTGTCACCTACATTTCTTAACAAAAGGTATATATTATACATGAAATTATTTATATCATAATTTTAGATTATAAATTTTAGCGTGATTTTACTATAAATAAATTTGCGTTCTGATATCATAAATTTATATTTAAAAAAGTTGCCAGTTTATTTATACTGTAAATATGTTCAAATTTATATGCACTACATTGTACGGTAAATAAATTTATAGGCTGTAGGCCAAAAAATATAGCGTAAGGCAATAACAATTTAGAAACATGGCAACTGCTTTGTATTTATGTTTGCAACAATAATGAATATAAATGATATGTTAAAATTGCCATAGATATGTATGCAATGTATCAACCACTTTTTTCTTTTTACAGAAACAAATGTTATGAATTTTAAGACAGATATCTCAGTGTAATAAAGCACATTGAACTAATCTATTTTACTGAATTTTTAGTGGGAAGACTTGAACAACTTCTACCAAAGGTTAAATGATAAAAGATGATAGAAAGATACAAACGGGTTCATTTTATCCCACTCACGGGCCACCATGAGTCTCTAGAACCGTCGTTACTCGAATGATAAAACGAACGTTTTGCAACCAATTGGTCTCATGCACAATTATATACTTTGTAAACGATGGAACGATACTTTGGCTAAATCGGTCGCGATGCTGACTAAGGACAAAGATTTACAACGGAATATCGCGTGTACAAGAGCACAGTTGTTACAACGAGTAAAGAAACAGCAGCTCGACACACACACACACACCTTCCGTTCTGCTTATTTGCGCGTTGAAAAAGCATAAAGAAAGCACAAACACATCACACGAGTCTACTTCAATCTTGAAGAATACCAGGGCCGGCGAGAAACATTTGCAGAGCTGGATGCAAAATTCAGCGTGGCCGAAAGATACGTATTTATGTGTACGTTTCAAGCTTCGAATGCTTCGAACACGGGATGTTTTAAGTTCGGTGGATTTGAAGCTTCTCATGCTTCAAATCTAAAAAATTAAACTCTAAATATTTCATATGCATCAAACAACTTCAATTACTTTCAATCTTTTTAGACTTGAATTACAATGCTTAATAGCTTCAAACTTGAACTTGCTTCTAATTTGCAACGCCTCAATAGCGTTGAACTTGAAAGGCATATTTGAATTGCTTTAAATTCAAAATCAGTCGAATTTGTATTGCTTCTATCGTTTTAAAGCTCAATTGCTTCAATACTTCAAGCTTGAAATGTGTTAAACTTGAACTACTTAAAATTTAAAATGCTTCAAACTTAAAACTCCAAGCATCGCTCGACGAGTACTGATACACATAAAATACTGTACGTAGAGCCCCGCAAAATTTGTGATGAATTTTTCGAGGGCAAATTTGCCTCGTACCAGCCCTGAAGATTATCATCGACAAGAAAAAAGATAATAAATTCGTTGTTGCTTGAAAATATTCTTTGACGAACGTGGACGATGAACGAAGCGTTGGAAACAATGTTTTAGGTAATTATGTAAAACGGGGTATACATGATCGATTTGAATAATATTGATATACGCCACAGCAGATCAATATTGCCATTTCTGAATACGGTGATTTAAAAGGTAATAGAAACGTAAAAAATTTTGGCCATCTCTGTGATCAAGGGAATGTATAAAAAAACGTAGACAATTCTTGTAATAATTGTGCATAGAATACCTAAATCATAACTAATGTAATTCTAGGTATGTCAGCTGGTGCAATTTTAAAATTAAAAATGTATAAGTGAAATTAGTGAGGACAGTGACCTGGCATCAAGATTAGTGATGAGATCAAGTTCAAATACTTTGATGATTTATTCTATAAGGTAGTCGAGTTATGTGGATAAATTAGGATAGAATTCAAGCAGATACTTATAAAATATAAGTACAATTTCAAGGAGGTCTATCATCTTGCTAATGCACCTGATCAAAGCTCGATTACACCTGCGTCTCTTATATTCCTACGAGAACTTGTAAAAGGTACAAACCTATCGTCAATGTTCAATTATACTCGCAGGTATCGTTTGTCTTTTCTTGCATACTTAATCAAACTTAGATCCCATCGCTACTCAAAAAGACCAAACTCGATTCGATATACCCCGTTCTACCTAATCATGAAAATTTAGTATCCAGAAAATGCATCGTCAACGATGACGATTATAAAACCAAAGGAACGTTTAGAACGGTACTTGCGTCGCGGCTAAAAAGCGAATGAAAGGAGGGCGTTTCGTAGCTGGCCTTGACGATTTTATAAAAACGTGAAAAGTGAGAGAGGCATTGATTGAAGAAGAAAAAAAAGAAAGAAAGAAAGAAAAGAAAAATGATCGATCGGCACGTTATGTATCCGGCGAAGTTCCGCAGGCACCGAGGGAACACCTTCGTCATTCGTACGAACAAGAGTACAGTAGGGACGCAAATATGCCGTGTCGTAATACACTGTTTTTTTTTAATCGTTTCTCGTTTAAAAAAGCCATCACCGCACGTGCCAAAGACCAAGATTCAACGTACTGAGCTGCGGCAACTTCATAATCCTTTCCAACCCATTGGTACTTATCCTGGTGCATCCGTAAAGATCGATGCATTTCAAATGCTTCATACTCTCCGCGATCGTGTACAACCCCTTGTCCGTTAATCTGCTGCACTGACCGATATTCAACGTCTCCAGATCATGCAACGTCTTCGCGATCTTGCAGATACCCTCGTCGCTGATCTGACACGCGGACAGCGAGAGGGATTTTAGATTAAATAACCCCTGGGAGATGTGGACGAGCGCCTGATCACCGATCTTGTCGCAGAAGGACACGTCCAAGGAAGATATCCTGCTGCCACCTTCCGCGAGATAGGCCATACCGATGTCCGAGATATTGTCGCAGGACCTCAGATTCAGTTCCCGCAAACTGGACATCTTGGCCAAGTGTTTCACCCCAGAGTCAGTGATACAAACGCAGAACGAGAGATTGATAGACTTAAGAGTGGTCAGGCCGATGGATATGTGCCTAAGAGCCTCGTCGCTCAACCGCTGGCAATCCTGAAGACTCAAATGTTCCAACGCGAAGTTGCCACCTGCCGCCTCGCGATTAACCCCGGCCAAATGCGCGATGCCCAGATCGGACACTTGCCAACAACTCCTTAGATCGAGTCTCTTCAACTTCTTCAGGTTCCACGCTATACACAAGAGGCCGGTGTTCGTGATGTTGCAGCAACCTCCCAGCTCCAAATGTTCGAGATTCTTTAAATACTGCACTATCCTACCGAGGGAAATGTCCGAGACCTGTTTGCACAACGAGAGATTCAGTTCGGTGAGGGTCGAGTACTCCTGGCAGAACGCGTTGATCAGTCCGGCGTCGGTGATGTTGTAGCAACCGGATAGATTCAACGCCTCCAAGTTTGGCACTCCTCTCAGAACGTCCCCGAGGCCCCTTCGAAGGGACAACACCTGCACCCTTTTCACTCCTCTTCTCACGAGACTGGCGAACAACGCCGGCGCTTGCTTCCTTAAATGCAACCTCGCCTCGACCCCGCGCCACACGGACCGGTAATACGCCGCGTCCCTCCACGCGGTGCACACTTGTGCAGCGCGTCCTTTGTCCCTGACCTCGAGGTAGCTGAAAATCAAAGCCAGTATCTCTGGGTACAAACAAGAGATGTGGGTGCTAGTTGTAACAGCACCGCGAGCTACTTGAGGCTGCTGCCTCGAAGAGATGCCTTGCGCGTAAGCCGGCACGCTGGTTGCACCGCTGGTATAATGCGGCGTGGTACTGGAGTTATAGAGGATGGCTTGACTTTGCGAGGTTGGGATCGCTAGGTGCGGCTGGTGCAACTGGTAATAGTGCCCTGAACGGTGGAGCAACGTTGTGCCCCGACTCGGCGTTAAGGCCGGAAGTTCCGTCATCAACAGCTGACTTTCGTCCATGTTGCCTGGATAGGTGCACACGCGTGCACGCATATACACCGCGTTTGAATACCTCTTCTTTACCCTACCGCTACTTTGGATATTTTTCCTTATCCATTTACGCGAACTCTTCCATTCTCTTCTCTTTAGTTTTAATTTCCTGATTTGTAGTTCGTTGCCGTTTCTTTGTTACTCAACGATCTAGCGTATCCAACGCTCGAACGTTAATACGATACGATATTTCTCGTTCGAGCTACGAGCTGGTTCGATGAAATGTATCATCGATGATCGATTAGCGAGCAACGAAACGAATGAGAGAAAGTTTATGGATTGTTTTGTTTCGCGACTTTTAATCCCACGCGGGTCTTACCACTCGTGTCGCGCATGTAACACAACCGTATCTTTTTAATTCCTATTTCCCTTCTTCCAATACGCGCTTATCGCCTTCTCCGTCGCTCTTAGCTCACTCACTCACTTGCTCACTTCCTCCCTTCCACCTTCAGCCTCCCTCACACCGCCCTTCTCTTCTTCGTCTCTTTCTATATATGCATAAATACGTGTATGTATTCATCTACAGTACGGTACATACACACACGCGCGCACATGCGCG